CTCAGTTTCTTCATCTCTGTACCTATGTTAAGAATATCTATATATATATAAAAGCCTAAGCGACCAAATGACTGAAAGACCTACAGGTCGACTGGTTGCTATGACGTGCACTAACCCACCAGGGGGCAGACGCTCAACGCAGGAGCTGCCCCCATGGTCAGTGCGCTTCCACAGCCAACCTCCTGTGGCCAGCCAACCTCCTGTGGTCCCTCCCCACAGCCGTCCAGCCTCCCCATCAGCCCCGACTGGGGCGGCGGGGGAGGCCAGCCAGCCAACATCCCATGGTCCCTGCCCCGGCTGGCTGGCCCCACCCCACCCCACCCCAATCGGCTCCGATCACTGGCCAGGCTGAGGGACCCCACCCGTGCATGAATTCGTACACTGGGCCTCTAGTCTACCTCATAAGGCCTTCTTGAAGATGAAATAGGATATGCTCAGGTAAGTTTTCATATAAATATTAGTTGGGTGAATTTAATTTGTAAGATAGATGGGTAGGACATGTATTATGAATTGAGTGTTCTTTTGTAAAACAAAACAAACAACAACAAACAAATATCCACTGAGATTGCTGGAAAATCAGTCTCTAGATAGAGAGTAGGGGGAATCTCTTCCCAGAGTCACTTAATTTTGAGGTCTCAAGATGGCAGCCATATCTGGCCCTCTGAAGTATTTAGATGCTGAGTGTATAGTATTTTTAAAATTTTAAGTCAACAGCCTGACCAGCATGGCTCAGTAGTTGAGCATCCACCCATGAACCAGGAGGTTATGAGCTCGATCCCCAGTAGGGGGCATGTAGGAGGCAGCCAATCGATGATTCTCTCTCATCATTGATGTTTTTATCTCTCCCTCTCCCTTCCTCTCTGAAATCAATAAAAATATATTTTAAAAAATGTAAGTCAACATATGAAGTTTGAGAGTTTTCACATAAAAATAGGAATTTCCTGCTTGTTTTGAAAAAGCAATGAGCAGATCTGGCCACACAGAGCCTGCACTGAGGAAGAGCAGTGGGGAGCGGCAGGTGAGGGAGGAATAGGTTCCCCTCCAGAAGGGGCGGCTCCTTCGTGCCCTGACGGTCCCCACCATTCCTCATACCCTGCCACCAGGCCTCACTTAGGATCACATAAACCTGGCCCCCGTGGGCATTTCTGTGTGCAACTCATGTTTTCCACCACCTGCCTCACACAGTCAAGCGTCATTGCCGGAGGGCCAACCATGTTTATGATTTGTCATCTAGAAATGATGATGAGCTATGTTGACATTTGGACAGCCATTCAACAGAATCGACTCCCTCTAGGCTGCATGTGTAAGCAGTTTCCACACACGCCAACTGAAGCCGAGATCTGGCAATCTTCCAGCATATTTGAGCTACGTAGATATTCAATTTGGATTCTTTTAGACACCAAAGTCGATACATTTTGGGGGTCCTGACTCTCAAATGATCCAACTTGACATTCCACCTTGATCAAATGTACCTGGCAACTGCCCCCTCTCCATAGACCTAGGCTCTCATAGCCACAATTTTAACTGATTTTCTAACCACGTTACATTTCCTGAGGACACTTCATGGGCGTAAAACCCAGTGCTGCCCAGGACACTGAGCTAGCTCCACATTAAACCTTGAATCAGCCCGCACAGTAAAAACCCAAAACATATTTAGGACGAGAGAGGGGAAACCAACAGATAACAGATTTAAGAAAGTTATTTTTATATGCAAAAACTACCAAACTGCCTACAATTAGTGAATACAAATCACTTTTTGGCTCTGAGATAGTTCCTCACAGCACACAATGTAAGTTAAAACGTATGCTTGAGACCTTGGCGTACATCTGCTCTTGATCTTCTGTCAATACAAAATATTTTTCCTCTTTCAACCTAAACACTGAATCAGGAAGCCTGTAATGAACTATACAGTACTAGCCAGTCTAAAAGCATTCTCCAAAACCAAAGTCCAGAAACAGATACATCTCCTCGTTTGTCTCTCCTCATAACTACGAAATGCACAGAATCACTTGAAGTGTTGAGCATTCTGACTGGAGGGGCTTTTGTCACTGTGAAACACAGGTCACCGTGAGGAGAATTGTCCTAGACAGAGAGATCCAGCTACGGAAGAGCCACCCCTGGGAAGAGAGGCAGCTGACTCTCTCTGTGTCTATGGTTTGTTTTGTTTTGCTTTTTCAAACAGTGAAATGCTTGTGGTTAATATTTTTGTGGATCTCATCCCCCCTAGAGAAAATGCACCGCACACAACCCATCTTCTATTTTAATTTTGTAACAATACAGCGAAAGATCTGGTGTGATGTGTGAACCCTAGCAAGCCAAGAAGAGAGCACTCCAAAAACTAATACTCATTCTAAGGAAAGATGTGAAACATTCTAAATCATAAACCCAGGTACCACCAGACCCCAGACAAACAGTAAAGAAGTGTTCCTGTTTCCCCTTTCTCGTCTTCCTCAGAGTATACCATTCACTCCAGACGTCCTTATCTGTCTAATAAAGGCCAGATTTTTATGGACACATTTCATCTGTTTCTTGCCATAGACACCGAAAGCTCTGGAATGCAGAGTCTCTTTCTGAGCCACCATTATCTCCACACATTTGTAGGGAGGGCACCAGTATAATTCTCCCAGGCCCCTGACTTTGTTTTTTAAACACAATCCCATTACGCACGCAGTGCATCTGTTTTCCTCGCAGAAGAGAAGCAAGCATTCTTGATTACTCTGCCTTTTTCCCTCCGAGAAACGGCCTACACACAGATGACACGAACCTTTTGATCAACAAGCTTCCAAAGAGATACAGATTTATTCTCCACAATCAGCAAGGAAGCTGCACTCAATTTTTTTTCTTTAGTACAGTTAAAAATAAAAGGAGGGGGAGGAGGGGGAGGAGGAGGAGGAGGAGGAAGAGGAGGAGGAGGAGGAGGAGAATCCTATAAAATTATGATGGGACAGGCTTCCTTTAGGGAAATGAGTAGAAAAACATATGCAAGGAAACCCCAGGAAGATGCACAGAAATTGATCCCCAAAAGTTAATCACAAGAGACCCCAGTTTAAGCAGAAAGCACTTTGGGTTTTTCCTCTTGGATGATAGATCCCCCCTTTTTCTTTTAAATCTCATTGATCTCTAGACTCATAACAATGTTAGGCGTCTATTGTCACTCCAGGGTTTTTCATCTTCGTGTAATTTTACAGACCGGCTCGGAGAATCCCTGCACTAGAGGGAATTATTTGGATTCCTGTTTCACAGCTGAAGAAACTGAAGAAGAGAAGCAAAGAGCTTCCCACTGAGACACAGAAAGAGCCTGTTTGAGGGGCTCAGTCTTCCGGGTTTCAGAGTTCAAACGCCCACTCAGAACACTACAACAGGAGAACAAGACGGCCTTCTAAATCTCGCATGAAATGCTGGATCTTGTTATTCTCTTTATATAATGCACTAGCATATATTCGCATGGGCAGAAACGGCAACGGCAGAGAAATGTGATCAAAAAGTACCTATATCCAATTTGGTCTTATTCTGCATAATTGGATCTGATTGAAGAAATACACTGGAACCTTGCTTCTCCAACTTAATTTGTTCCGGAAGGTTGTTCGAGAAGTGATCTGTTCGAGAACCAAATCATTTTTCCCCATTAGAAATAATGTAAATTGAATTCATTTGTTCCAGTCCCCCAAATGATTCCCTGTTTTAACCTGTCTTATATACAGTACATGTCTAATGGAACGTTTAATCTACACACAAACACTTTCTAAATGTATTGAACCACCCCCTACCATCCTTAAACAAATCATGTTCAGCACCCATTCCAGGGGTGTCTTTCAGGAGGTCAGCATGCGGCATACTCGCTTTTCCACATATCACTGCCTCTGAAATGCTGTCACTGGCTAACTGCTTTTCATTTTTCCAAAACAGCAACCGTTTTTCTGCCTCTTCAATTACCTGTGATCATTGTTTCATTCACACCTTTAGCAACATTAGCACTCTTGATGGCCTCTTTGTTTTAAAATTGTGCTAATCATGCATTTGGCCAGCAACAAATACAAAAAAAAGCCCACAAAAATATCCACAGCACAATTTCCTGAGATGTTAACCAGGCAAAGTGTCACTGTACACTGACTCATACTGGGGCGTTCTCTTCTTTGTGGCCTGAGAGATTCTTTTTGTCATGCTGAAGTATCAGCATGAAGGGTTGTCCACTTGAGAACCTATAAAATTATGATGGGACAGGCTTCCTTTAGGGAAATGAGTAGAAAAACATATGCAAGGAAACCCCAGGAAGATGCACAGAAATTGATCCCCAAAAGTTAATCACAAGAGACCCCAGTTTAAGCAGAAAGCACTTTGGGTTTTTCCTCTTGGATGATAGATCCCCCCTTTTTCTTTTAAATCTCATTGATCTCTAGACTCATAACAATGTTAGGCGTCTATTGTCACTCCAGGGTTTTTCATCTTCGTGTAATTTTACAGACCGGCTCGGAGAATCCCTGCACTAGAGGGAATTATTTGGATTCCTGTTTCACAGCTGAAGAAACTGAAGAAGAGAAGCAAAGAGCTTCCCACTGAGACACAGAAAGAGCCTGTTTGAGGGGCTCAGTCTTCCGGGTTTCAGAGTTCAAACGCCCACTCAGAACACTACAACAGGAGAACAAGACGGCCTTCTAAATCTCGCATGAAATGCTGGATCTTGTTATTCTCTTTATATAATGCACTAGCATATATTCGCATGGGCAGAAACGGCAACGGCAGAGAAATGTGATCAAAAAGTACCTATATCCAATTTGGTCTTATTCTGCATAATTGGATCTGATTGAAGAAATACACTGGAACCTTGCTTCTCCAACTTAATTTGTTCCGGAAGGTTGTTCGAGAAGTGATCTGTTCGAGAACCAAATCATTTTTCCCCATTAGAAATAATGTAAATTGAATTCATTTGTTCCAGTCCCCCAAATGATTCCCTGTTTTAACCTGTCTTATATACAGTACATGTCTAATGGAACGTTTAATCTACACACAAACACTTTCTAAATGTATTGAACCACCCCCTACCATCCTTAAACAAATCATGTTCAGCACCCATTCCAGGGGTGTCTTTCAGGAGGTCAGCATGCGGCATACTCGCTTTTCCACATATCACTGCCTCTGAAATGCTGTCACTGGCTAACTGCTTTTCATTTTTCCAAAACAGCAACCGTTTTTCTGCCTCTTCAATTACCTGTGATCATTGTTTCATTCACACCTTTAGCAACATTAGCACTCTTGATGGCCTCTTTGTTTTAAAATTGTGCTAATCATGCATTTGGCCAGCAACAAATACAAAAAAAAGCCCACAAAAATATCCACAGCACAATTTCCTGAGATGTTAACCAGGCAAAGTGTCACTGTACACTGACTCATACTGGGGCGTTCTCTTCTTTGTGGCCTGAGAGATTCTTTTTGTCATGCTGAAGTATCAGCATGAAGGGTTGTCCACTTGAGAACCCAAGTTAACCAGCACATTTTTTTTCCATGAACAACTTGGTCAAGAACCAAATTGTTCCAGATGGGAGACATTTAAGAACCAAGGTTTGACTATACAGTCATTCTCTCCTGCCACAAACATAAGCTAAACCCTTGGTGCCAGATATATCTAAATTCTTCCACTTTATTGTATTTTTTAAAATATATTTTTATTGATTTCAGAGAGGAAGGGAGAAGGAGAGAGAGATAGAAACATCAATGATGAGAGAGAACAGTCAATCGACTGCCTCCTGCACGCCCCACATTGGGGACTGAGCCAGCAACCCAGGCATGTGCCCTGACCAGGAATCAAACCATGACCTCCTGGTTCATAGGTCAGTACTCAACCATTGAGCCACGCCGGCTGGGCTCTGTTATATATTTGATAGTAGCTTGTTCTCATAATCTGAAAAAGAAATCATTTGGACACGGTTGAACCACATACCAAAATTCCTCTTAGAAGATGTGGCTTTTAGTAGAGGTAGCAAAAGCTTTTTGCTCACTAAAAAGATCTATGCTTCCTGGGCATCTAAGTTCACCAAGATCTCCAGCCTAAATATGGAAACTTTACTTCACATGCAGAAAAAACCCTAATGGTCATTTGTTAATCCTGCTGGAGGCAAACAAGAGTAGTAAAAAAGAGGTAGGTAAAAAGCCAGGAAAGCCTGTTTCTAGTCTTGGTAGGTAGCAATAATAGTCATAGCATCGACCATTTAGTGAGCACTTCACATGCATTTTCTGATTGATCCTACAACAACTTTTTGAGTTAGATATGATCGCTTCCATTTTACAGAGGGGAAAAATGAAGTTCAGAGGGGCAAAGTAACTCACTCATGATGACATTTAGTGCCCGTGTGGTTGAACAGGTTATCTTTGGAAATCAGACAGGCGTGGGAGTCTCAAACACATTTAGGAGTTGTAGAGTAACCAACTGTCGCAGTTTGCTTAGACTTAGGGGTTTCTTGGGAGGCAGGAATTTCATTGCAAACGGGGATGGTTGCTCACCCTGCAAACTGTGTAACCTTAAAGAAAGTCCCCCGACCCCCTTTCTGGACCAGAATGATCTCTGGAGTGCTAACGTCCGATTTCTTTCTCTGCAGGGTGACATAGAGGCATCTCTCTCATCATAACCCCAGGATCTGTAGTGTCACTGCCTTTACTCTTCCCTTCTTTATGACTGAGTCCTCCTGGTTTCTTCTGGAAAGCACCCTCTGACTAAGGCTACACAGCTCCCATAGAACACACAGCAACAGCTTTCCATTGAACAGGCCTGGGCATGATAACCTCCATTGGCCTCTGCCTGAACAGTTTAATAGCAAAGGAGACTGCACACTGATCACATCCACTCAACCTCTCAGCCTCTGTTTGCCCATCAAAATGGGAATAATAAAAATCACATCTCACACGGTGAGTGGGAATCAAGTGAGATCAAGGATATAAAAGTGCTTCTATAAACCATAGAGAAATACAAAAAGGCACCCCATGCCGCCTTTATCAGGGTGTGGGCACACAACTCACAAAACCATCTGGACCTAGCCCAGAGTCTATGCTTACCCCCACAGTCTTAGCCCGCACAGGACCTAACTTGCATGGGCTGCTGAATGTGTGATTTTATATCCCAAAGGCTCTTATTTTAGCCACAATTTCAGCTGTTTCCTGGTCATAAACAAGAAGCAGGAAACTCACTCTACACAAGATTGGAAGTGGAGATCAGGAGAGCAAGGATGGGAATCACTCAAACCCTGGGACATTACTTAAAAGGTTTAGAAGAGAAAGAAAACTAAGTCCTTATGGTACACAATTGTCTAATCCCTGAAACTGGCAAAGTTGTCTAAACCCAGTCTAATTCATGGAGCTATTTCTGAGGATCAAAGAGACATGAATGTGAGTATCTTTCAAAAGCAGGTAAAATAATCTACAAAGTACTAGGTATGCTTATGGATATGGATATAGATGGCACAGATATATTACAGTATATACAGTGCAGTGTTCTTATTTTTCAATGTTCTTATTTTGAGAATATGAGGAGCCAGAGAGGATTAGCAACTTGCCTAAGAGCATACAGCCAAGAAACACAATGAAAAGTCAAATCCCTTGATATTCAGCCAGTGCTCATGAATCATAGGGATTGCCTTACTTTGGGATCCCTCAGAGCAAACTGTAAGGCAAGGATTCGAGCGCAAGTGGCTTATTTGGGCAGTAATTTCAGGGACCACTGGTTGGGCAATGAGAAGTGAGATAGGGAAGAGAAGAAACTGATCAAACAAATTTCTACCACGAAAAACTGGGGTGTCATTCTGCTGGGGAACTCTGGGAAATAGCATAGATCATGCATCTTAGAGTTATTCCACCTAAGGGACAAGAAGGCAGGGGTATTTTCCAATCAGTCATTGGGTGACAATTGCTGGGGGGAGTGGTAATCCCCCTGTCACTTACAGCACTCAGGTAGAATGGGCTCCAGTGACCAGAGAATGCCCTTAGGCAAAGAGTCAGGGGATTTGATAATTGAAAATTAAGCTAGCATGCCCAACAGTGGTATCAGCTGAGGGACACCAGCAGGTCCAGACAGCATCTATGACTGCTACCTTGGTTGTCCATTAGTCTAATGTATGAGAGAATGATGGAATTCTCTCTACTACTATATTCCATTGCAATATAAACCTTATTAAGGCAAGATTTTTATTTTTTATCTATTTTGTTCATTGCCAAATCCTCAAGGCCTAAAACGGTCATGAGACATATATCCACTTAGTAAATATTGGTTGAATGAATGAATAACATCCCTGACCATTGGCCAATCTTTTCTCCTTGAATGCTCCTTCAGTGGGGAGTTACTCGGGATGAGTTAAGGCAGCTGGGTTGTTTGTTGAACCATTCTCTAATAGAAAGTTCTTCGTGACACCAACTACCTATGTGCTTCCCTGTATCACTTATCCTGTGGCTCTAATTTTTTTAGGGGTTCAGGGGGACCAAATTGGAATAAATTTAATGCTCTGTTCCACTTGATAGTCCTTCAAATATTTTTGGGTATCTGTGTGTGCCTGGTTTCCACAGCTGTCCTCTTCTGATCTGGCTTTTAGATTTTTCACTGTCCTGGTAATAGGAAAGACATGTGGGGAAGCCAGCTCTGCCACTCTTAAGGGAAGTGATCTTGGGTAAACTTCTTCCCCTAAAGATTATATATAACCTGCCTGGTTTGGCTCAATGGATAGAGCATCAGTCTGTGGACTGAAGGGTTCCAGGTTCAATTCCAGTCAAGGGCACATGCCTGGGTTGTGGGCTTGATCCCCAGTAGGGGGCGTGCAGGAGGCAACCAATCAATGATTCTCTCTCATCATTGATGTTTCTATCTCTCTCTCCCTCTCTCTTCTTCTCTGAAATCAATTTTTAAAAATGTATATTTTAAAAAAGAATATATATGAGATTAATAAAAACTACCTGTCAGGGCTGGTGTGAAGGTTAACTAAGACTAGAGGCAACTATAGGTAAAGTCCTAGCCAGTGTCTGGTACATGGAAGGCCCCCACAAAGGTGAGTTCCTTTCGGCAGCCTCTGGCTGTGCTCCAGCTTAACAATACAAGGTTTAGAGATGACATCGATATGTTGGCCTTCCCATGCATCTCAAATACAAAATGCAGAAGGATTCCTCACTCTATATTCCTCACTCTGAGATGGTTAAAAACTTGCTGGAGTCTCTCAGTTCATGACAGAGTCAGGGCTAGAGAGCAACTCTATTAACACACTCTAAGAGTGCAATCGCTTTTTAGGCAACCCCATAGCAATATTTTCTTATTGAGCTTCTACACCTAACACCCAAGGTCATTTTTGTGTGGACTAATCGACTATACCATGCATTGGGTACAATTGACTTTTTGAAACAAAGTGTAGTTCTTTCCATTGATACCTGTTTGATTTCTTCTTTAGTAATACCCTCTTTCCACTATACCACACCTGCCTTTACAACAGACAGGACTACCCTAAAGGACTTTATCGTGCCTCCCTTATCTCCTGGTTCGCATTCTCATTTGATGGTATGTCCTCCAAAGATGAGCAGGAGACCAAGGAGATGGAAATCCAACTGCCACAGCTGCTCTTTTAAACCTCCTACACGAGGAAAGAAAGGAAACCTGTTAGCCTGCTGGTTGGTACTAAAAAATGAGCATAACCTTATCCAAAGTCTTCTCCGCCCCTAATTCCACAGATACAAAAGAAGTAGTAGTTTAGCAAATGGACACAAGTAATGGGAGGAGAATTGTCAAGCACAAGCTCTATAGAGTATCAAAAATCAGCCCAGGCAAGTCACAAAAGTGCTGGACTAAAGGTTGAAGAGTTGTTTTCTGACTGCCATGAACTAGCTGTGGGACTTTAGCCAGTTTTTTAACCTCATTAGCATTCAGGTTTTTTGTCTATAGAATGAAGAGAGTAAGCGAGCTAAAAAACAAACAAGCAAACAAACAACCCTTAATAAACTTTAGTCCATTCAGACAATAGAATATTATTTAGCACTGAAAAGAAATGAGTGATCAAGCCGTGAAAACACATGGAGGAAATTTAAATGCATTACTAAGTGAAAGAAGCCAGTCTGAAAAGCCTACATACTGTATGATTCCAATTATAGGACATTTTGGAGAAGGCAAAACTATGGAGACTGTAAAAAAAAAAAAATCAGAGGTTGCCAAGGGTTAAGGGGAAAGGAGGGATGAATAGGCAGAGCACCGAGGATTTTCAGGGCAGTTAAACTATTCTGTATGATACTATAATGGTAGGTACATGTCATTATGTATTTGTTAAAATCCTTAGAATGTACAATATCAAGAGTGAACTCTAATGTAAAAAAAAAAAAAAATCCCACCCTACATGTGTTAAATAAAAGCCACACGTGCCTGCCCGGGGTGGCTCAGTGGTTGAGGGTCAACCCATGCACCAAGGGTTGCAGGTTCCATCCCCAGTAGG